TACTTATGAAAATGTTAACGATTACAAAGGGGATTACATTTGAATATTTACACACATCCACATACAGATTTAATTGTTTTTTTCCCCAAATTACACTGACTACTCTGAGACATACGGTCCAATAATTTCCGCGATGCGGAAAACACAGACTGGTTCGTAGAATCCAGTCATAAAAACGGAATTCCTATAGCCTAACGCGGACGGAATATGCCACATTTTGGACGAATAAATCAAAAGTAGGTCAGTACACTTTAATCAAAACACGATATGGACTAGTGTCTATGAATATTAAGCCGCGAAAAGACTTTCCTGTAGTTATGCAAAGATTTGGTTTCAAAAATAGTATCAGTAAACTATTTCTTATGATTTTAAATCTGCATTGAACTTCAGATCAATCTCAAAGTAAAAGGCGATACTAAAGTCTGATTCTGTGGTGGATGTGTTCAAATTTGATCATCTTAATTCAAGTGAGGAGGGATTTTGAAAGTCTGAGCACTACTATAAGGTTAACCCTGCATGGTGTAAATGTTTGAAAATGATTAACAGCTGCAAATAAACATTCATTAGAAATTTAGAAAAGTAATCAAAAAGTAATCAAAAGTAATCAGTTACATTACTTTTATACAGTAATTGAAAAAGTTACACTACTATTACATTTTAAATAGGGTAATCTGTAACCTATTACATTTCCAAAGTAACCTTCCCAACACTGTATATATATAAACGAATAAATCGGCCTATACGAGAAACATATTTTTACTTCTTTTTACTAATAAAATAAGAAAATTAAAGAAAAACTGTGCAACAAGTAGCCTGCAGAGCTTCAGTTCATTTTTGTGCAGCGCAAAAGGAAACAGATGGCAGAAAGCGGCATCCTACTTTTCTTTAGGCTTGTTTTACAAAAGCACAAAGATTTGTTTTTATTGGGAATGTACACAAATAAAGGCAAACCTTTTACAATTTCTATTATCTTTATGACTAAAAGGAGTAATTGCTTCCACTGTTAGAAGGAAACAAAATCAAGTGATTGCGCCTGCGCCGCAAGCGCGCACACAGTTAAGCTTTGCTACATTGACAATGCAGCCTGTTCATTATCATAATAAAATACCGTCAGACAAACATATGGAAAAAAAACTATATAGTAAAAAAAAAATGTAGTAAAATCTGTGCCGTTAAGTGTTATCACAGTACCGCCGTGATGTTATGCAAAACATTTTGTTTTACGTGGATATTGGAACACGAGTGAAGTACATAATAAATAATAATTTGCCATTCAAATACATCGCGAATACGGAAACATTTGATTTTGTGTGGAATGAGAGACCCAACATTGGTTTCAGTTTCGTTTTAGCCTAAATGAATTCGTTTTGGCTTGTCGTTTATATTGCTATAGCTTCTTATATTTTTAATTCTTGTTCTTTTCTAAATACTGTTAATTGAAAGGATTTGTTGTGGAGTGAGGGGAACTAAAATAGCCTAGCTATGTTTACAGTGTTTATTATAATGTTTGTAAACATTTCGCGTCGGCATTAGGCCTAGTTCTGAATGAAATAAAAAATGCGACTTATGTTTTTTTTCCCCCTAAAAAACACATTTTTTTATACGCGTAACGTATTTTAACCATGCAGCAAACCTTTTTAAATATTTTGATCAATTACTGAAAAAACTAAAGCATTCATGTACAAAAAAAAGCAAATAATCAATTGTATTAATCGGTCAAAATTCTTACGGTCGGTTAACCGGTTAAAAAGAACATCCCTAGTTATTACAGATTGTTTGATTTGTGTATTTGTGCGTTTTTAACCTAAATCACAGCTGGATGTAGGCTGTCAAACATACACAACTGTTAGTCAATCATAGCGGTGGGCGTTTACTTCCGAGTCTACAATCTGCCACGCCTATTCATACAGAGCGTTCTGATGAGGGGGGTCAAAACAGGACAGAAAATAGCATGTTACTTCTAAATTATGACGTTTTTTGATGTAAAAATCTTGATAACATTATAAGTGGAAAACAGTACAAAACATTAAAAAATCTAAGATTGAGGATTGTGAAGATATTTTACTGGAACTTGGTCTTCATCGCATCTATTTTTTTGTTTTTATTTTGTTTTACTTATTTTATGTATTTATTCATGTTCGAAGTCAGTTGTCATTTATAAATGTATTCAGCTGAAAACTGTTGGTAAGAGCACTGACATTTTTGCTACAATTTCACGTCAATAAATAAGTACCTAATTCATACATCTTATTGCTGTTACTGTTGTTTTAAAGGGGTCATATGATGCAATTTCAAGTTTTCCTTTCTCTTTGGAGTGTTACAAGCTGAAGCACTGACATTTTTGCTACAACTTCACGTCAATAAATAAGTACCTAATTCATATATCTTATTGCTGTTACTGTTGTTTTAAAGGGGTCATATGATGCGATTTCAAGTTTTCCTTTCTCTTTGGAGATTTCCGACGAGTGCTTGCGGTGTTCGGCCAATCACAATGCACTGGGTCAGCTGGCCAATCAGAGCAGACTGCGCTTGTCGGAAGGAGGGACTTTGTAGAAAACGAAGCGTTTGAGAGAGGCGGGGCATAGAGGACCTACAATAATGTACAGTATTTGAAAAATAATGTGTTTTTTGAACATTAAAGCATTTCAACATATTCTGTTACACCAAAATAATGATCTTTAAAAAAGCATCATATGACCCCTTTAATGCAAATACCTAATAAAGGCCCCACTCTAAAAAAAGATGGCTCATTACTGATTTTCTGGAGCTCAGCCATCCATCTACACAGTCAACACACTCTCAACAGGTAAATGATTTCTTTCTTAAAATGTCTACAATTCTAACTGTCAATTTGTAACTAGTTTCCTACCAATGTCTTTTTCTCTTTTTTAGTTTAACAGAACATGTAAGTGTGAGCAGCTCTGTTCAGTTAAGGATACTTCTCTCCTCTTCACCACTAAGTAAGTAACAAAGATACTGAATTTATGGTCCATATTGTTAGATTTTCTCAAATTTATTACTTGTATTTATGCATAAACATACCCAGCCACAGCTATCCCATGACTTTATATTACTTTTTTCCTTTTAACATTGTGAAGCGCTCATATACTACTGGCTTTCATAAATAATTGTTTTTATATAAACCAATGTAAAGAGACACATTGTAACTCTAAACTCAATTGCGTATTTCAGATGCATCACATCCCACAACCTCATCATCTGTAGGAGAAACTGCCACTCAGTCACACCAAAACACACATAATGATGGACTTAAAGGCATCATTGAGGATTGTGAAAATTTGGTATTTCACTGTAACTTGGTCTTCATTACATTTTCTGTTTCTATTTTAACTTTTTTAAGTATTTATTTATGTTCAATGTCAACTGTCATTTATTAATGCGTTCTGCTAATAACTGTTGTTAGAGCACTGTCATTTTTGCTATAATTTCACGTTATTAAAAAAAAAGTACCTAATTGACACAACATGCTGTTGCTGTGGTTGTTTTTATATAAAACCCTAATGGAGGCTACAAGATATTATAAGATCAGGCAGATAGAGTGATAGAAAAAACAATATTAATAAATAATACAAATAATATTAATAATACTAATATTAATTATATAAATATACAGTCACACTTTATTTTAAGGTCCAGTTCTCACTATTAACTAACTATTAACTACGACTTTTGTCTCAATAAACTCCTAATTACTTCTTATTAATAGTTAGCAAGGTAGTTGTTAAGTTTAGGTATTGGATTAAGGATGTAGAATATGGTCATGCAGAATAATACATCAATATGTGCTTTATAAGTACTAATAAACAGCCAATATGCTAGTAATATGCATGCTAATAAGCAACTAGTAAATAGGGTGAATTGGTCCCTATACTAAAGTGTTACCAAATATAATAATAATAATCAAAATAAACTATCATTAAAAAGGTTAATTATAACACCATTAAGGTCCTATATAGCATTTTCAAAGCATGGTTCTTTATGGAACCCTATAAAAAAGGTTCTATTTAGCACCAAAAAGGGTCCTGCTGCTGTTACAAGCTGAAGAACCCATTTCTGTGTACAGAAGGTCACACTACAACTGATATTTATTAACATACTAAACATACTTTAAAACTCTTTTAAAAAGTCATGAAACAATGAGACCTCTTAATACTGAAGGCCATTGAGGGTGTTGCTAAAGACAGGACATGTTAGCAGAAGACTAATGATGTACCTGGTTCCAGCTACAGCTCCATCGTTTTTCCCTAACGGTTCGTCCAGCTCCACTCCACACCACTCGCCCTTGGCAAAGTCAGTCTCTCCCACATAACGCACTACTCCTGTTTTAGTTCCGCCAACCTGAGGAGAGAGCAGAGGAAGTTCAGAGGTGCATAGTGATAACATGGACACATGGTTTATTGTGATAACAGTATAATGAAACACTCGACTGAAAAAGGCAAAAAAAATTAAAAACAATTATTAGTTTTATTCTAATAAATTACACACCATATGAGAATTATATTAAATTAATTATATATTTTTATATTTATTTTACATTACTTACATAAAAAATAACTACAATTGAATATATTTCTCTTTCAACTCATGATGATACTCTTAAAATGGCCAAATATATCTATCACTAATGAATGTCTGTCTAAAAAAATTAACGTCTAGGAAAATAGAGCTGGTCCCACTGAATGTCAGCAGTGCAGTGTAGTGTAGTAAAATCTGCCAGCTGGTGCTGAGATATAACTGGGAATGACTGTTGTGCTAGTTGAACTGGCCTACATTCATCAACCCAGCACTGGGGAAAAAAGGAGGTCACAGCCTATTCATTAGTGATGGCACAACTACTACACATAAGAAAGCATATTGTGTCCTTTAGAAACAAAGAAGTGTATACACATTCTGTGTGCGTCAGAAGCATGCATTCATATTACTTTTTTTTTTTAAATCTCCCTCTTTCATATACACACAATCGCAATTGCCACAACAAAAGAGTGTAAGAAAAGTCTCTGGTTCCAAGCAAGTCACATTCAAAGCTTTTCTGATAAATTATGCAGAACATACAGAAATGTAAACTGAATTAAGACTTTCAAAGGTAACAGGGTTTCAAAGTCACAATCTGAGATTTGCTGACCTTTCTCCTTAAAATTGTTTATTTGAAAGCAATTCAGACATTATTATATATGATTGGGACATTTACTGACAGTTTTCGTGACATAAACCCATTTGAATTCTTCTTTGCTTTGCTCAGAAATAGAAAAACCTGTTTGACATAAGTAATAGATAAATTTAGACAGAGCAGAAAGACTAAAAATCATGGTTTGATATTGCAGTATTTGAATTAATAATTAATAAACTCCAAACAATACACTACACAAAGATTAAAAATCTCGTCATCTCAAGTGCAACTGATCCAAAATCCAAAAATGACCGATATGTTGTCCTTTCAGCAGTAAATAAACCCTCTCTAAAACAATATGATCCTTTGAATGCATCAAAATGCATTTGTTTTTTGATGTTCTGTTTTTGTCAATCATTCATTGAGTCAATTTCACATTTTACTAACATTTAATTTTACA